AACCAGTACATTGATGGAGAAATAAATTTAGTACATTAACTATTTGTAATTTTATTTCGAATGCAGACTTTGGAAATATAAATATTCACATATCAAACTACATTGAAGCCCATAATATTGTATAGCAAAGTCAAGGATGAAATTCAAAGACACTTAAGCTTGTATAAAAAAGTAAAAAAAAAGTAAAAAAAATGGTTACAGAAAAAGTGCCTGAAAATACCTATTTTTGAGTATGTGAATCAAATCAAATAAAAAACGTGGACATATGGCACGTACATAAGGGCACATTATCAGTACTGAAGGTAATATATATAAAATGTTATCAAAGTAATTAACAAATATCCAATAAAAAAATAATGAAGAAGGTGAAAACATGTTTTTCAATATTATACTTTCATGTACCAGTGAAATACTTGACTTTGATTTGTCATGAAACATTTGTTTATAAAATAAACACCGTAAAACATATCCAATCGGGATGTTGTGTATTATTACGATTCGTGTCAGTTTGTCTATTATACAATCAATCCCGAACCATTTTCTCAAAAGTCTACAATTTAAAGGATTTTTGTATAAGCGTACTATGCCAAAATAGTGCATGATGTGCAACCAATAAGCCAAAGACACTCTTATCAATAATAGTGTATTTTAATATATATCTATATAAGCTTAATTTCAAACATTTGATAATTAAAGAAAACCAGAAGTCTCTGTCGAGACTGAAGCTCTACTGGTTTGTACTTATAGCAAAGGAAAAGAAAAGTTGTTAAGCAATTGGGAATTGAAACTTTACCACAGCAATAAAAAGAATAATGATCCTTGATTAAGTCTCTTTATGTTCTTAGTATAGTCTATTTGCATGCCACATTATATTATAATCAGACTTAATCTGCAGGAGGAGTAGCATTTTGAGAGTTTTTAACAGAAATTTCTATTTTTAGTTACCATGGCAACACCGTTCATCGAAATCAAAAACCGATACATAGAATTATGTATCTTAGTGAAGTCTACTTGTGTGCCAAGTTATATTGAAATCAGACCAAAACTGTAGGAGGAATAGCATTTTGAAAGAATTTCACAGAAATTTCTATTTTTAGTAACCACGGCAACACCGTTCATCGAAATCAAAAACTGATATACAGAATCATGTATCTTAGTGTAGTCTACTTGTATGCCAAGTTATATTGAAATCAACCAAAACTGTAGGAGGAGTAGCATTTTGAAAGAATTTCATAGAAATTTCTATTTTTAGTAACCACGGCAACATCGTTCATCGAAATCAAAAACCGATACACAGAATTATGTATCTTAGTGTAGTCTACTTGTGTGCTAAGTTATATTGAAATCAGACCAAAAATGTAGAAGGAGTAGTATTTTAAATAATTTCACAGAAATTTCTATTTTTAGTAACCACGGCAACACCGTTCATCGAAATCAAAAACCAATACACAGAATTATGTATCTTAGTGAAGTCTACTTGTGTGCCAAGTTATATTGAAATCAGACCAAAACTGTAGGAGGAGTAGCATTTTGAAAGAATTTCACTGAAATTTCTATTTTTAGTAACAAAGGCAACACCGTTCATCGAAATCAAAAACTGATACACAGAATTATGTATCTTAGTGTAACTTGTATGCCAAGTTATATTGAAATCAGACCAAAACTGTAGGAGGAGTAGCATTTTGAAAGAATTTCACTGAAATTTCTATTTTTAGTAACCACGGCAACACCGTTCATCGAAATCAAAAACTGATATACAGAATTATGTATCTAAGTGTAGTCTACTTGTATGCCAAGTTATATTGAAATCAGACCAAAACTGTAGGAGGAGTAGCATTTTGAAAGAATTTCATAGAAATTTCTATTTTTAGTAACCACGGCAACACCGTTCATCGAAATCAAAAACCGATACACAGAATTATGTATCTTAGTGTAGTCTACTTGTGTGCCAAGTTATATTGAAATCAGACCAAAACTGTAGGAGGAGTAGCATTTTGATTTTACAGAAATTTCTATTTTTAGTAACCACGGCAACATCGTTCATCGAATCAAAAACCGATACACAGAATTATGTATCTTAGTGTATTCTACTTGTGTGCCAAGTTATACTGAAATCAGACCAAAACTGTAGGAGGAGTAGCATTTTGAAAGAATTTCACATAAATTTGTATTTTTAGTAACCACGGCAACACCGTTCATCGAAATCAAAAACCGATACACAGAATTATGTATCTTAGTGTATTCTACTTGTTTGCCAACTTATACTGAAATCAGATCAAAACTGTAGGAGGAGTAGCATTTTGAAAGAATTTCACGGAAATTTCTATTTTTAGTAACCACGGCAACACCGTTCATCGAAATCAAAAACCGATACACAGAATTATGTATCTTAGTGTAGTCTACTTGTGTGCCAAGTTATACTGAAATCAGACCAAAACTGTAGGAGGAGTAGCATTTTGAAAGAATTTCACAGAAATTTCTATTTTTAGTAACCACGGCAACACCGTTCATCGAAATCAAAAACCGATACACAGAATTATGTATCTTAGTGTAGTCTACTTGTGTGCTAAGTTATATTGAAATTAGACCAAAACTGTAGGAGGAGTAGCATTTTGAAAAATTGTTTACAGACAGACGGACAGACAGACGGACAGACGGACGGACGCCGGACGCATTACTATCGCATAAGCTCTTCTGGTCTCTGACCAGTAGAGCTAAAAATAAACAAAAAAAATTTCTTCAAAAGTTTCTTGTAACATTTTTAACTTAATTTACTCGTGTATTATATGCAGACAGAATTTTTATATCAGTCTGTTATTTTCCAAAGTTTTGTTGTTTTTTTTTTTTTTACATAAAATTTTGGAAGGAAACAATGACTTTGAATGACTCTTTTTTTAATTTTGTAAAATAATAGCAAAGTCATTCTATTATGAATCATATAGTAGCAAAGTCATTATATTATGAATCAAATTGTTATTTTCATGTCTTATTAAGTTGATTTTAATCTGGGAATTAAAATTATGTGAGGAAGCTGATTCTGATTATGATTTTGAATGGCTAAACTATTAAATGTTCGAATGTTATTACATGTACCAGTAAATACACTTTTATTTATGATACATGTAGACTGACAGTGATAAGTACTTATGTTAGTTTCAAAGAAATAAATTACATTTAGGAATTTCATTGCACTGGTTCAAACCAAAGAATATGTATTTGTACTACCTTTTTTTTTTAAACATAAAATAATTTTTGTCAAGAGAATTTTCTGCAATAAATTTAATTTTTTTGTTACAGTTTCATATACACATGTATATACATTTCAAAGACAAGAATTTGACTCTGAATGCTAAATTTTTTAATTTAATTTGATTTTAATACTTTTGAAGCTACATCTTTAATCAATTTGCAAGCTTTATCTGCCTATCTTCTTTGTTCACATCACAACATCCACTTATCTAAGTGAGATGTCGTACGGACTATGACCAAAATTTTTAGTCCCTACGACATCTTGCTGAGATTAAACATCCAAGGGAGGGATCTTTTTCATGCCAGCACCTACTGCGACACGGGACCTCCGTTTATACGGTCTCATCCGAAGGACCGGTCTCCACGTCCCACAGTGGGATTCGAACCCACAACGTAAGGATCAACTCCTTTCTTCGCGACTCTAGAGCAGACCCTCTAACCACTGCGCCATGCGGGCGACTTTAATAAATAGATGAGGAAATAATTTACCAGTATTTAGGCTGAGCAAAGCAAAAAAGAACAAAATTATACTGGGTCTCTTATTGATTGTCCACCAGTTTGTTGGTAGACCAAGTAGTTACTGTGTCTATAATTCATTTTATCATTTTTAAAGTTTATTTTCATTTTTCATGTTTTAAATCTAGCAATTCAAATTTACTAATGCATACTTGAGTTTATTTGATTTTTGGCTATCAGTTTATCTGATCATTGTTGATACAGTTATTAAACTAAAATGCAACTTAATAAATTGTAAAAACTTCCTTTGAGTTAATATATTAGATAAATTCTCATTTTGATCTTGGTGTTATAAAGCCAAAACATATGCTGAACCCCTGTCTTTTAATTTGGGCAAGGACAGAGTTTGTTCCCCTTATATATTGGTGTCCTGTACCTTTGTGACAAATGCAGAAGCTCCTCCTTTCTGACCAGTAGTACTATTAAATTAAAAAAATTTAAAAGTAGAATAATTTTTATATCATTTATTATTATAAACAAGAGAAGATAAATCAAGGCAAAAAATATATGTGAATCTGACATACATGTAAGTATATTTAAGGAATCACTGTCTAGTTTGGAGAGTATGCCAGGGCATCAACAATAGTGGGAAAGATGGGATAATTTGCATAACAGGCGAAGCCCGTTATGCTAAAATTATCCCATGTTTCCCACTATTGTTGATGTCCCTGGCATACTCTCCTAACTAGACAGTGATTCCTTATATTTCCTTTTCATTGTGCAATAAAATTGTAGGCTTAGACATTAAAAATGTAGACTAAAAGATTGAAATCACATGAGGACTTCCATGCCAATTTCAATAGTCCTCGCACACTGACGTCAAACACAAAGGCAGCTGCACGAGATTTACATGCATTTATGGCCTCCTTAGCGTCAGACACAGAGATAGATGCGCACGAGATTTGCATGCATATTAGACCTCCTTAGCTGCTGACCTATCGACCTGATTTACATTCCGGCAGAATTATCAAGAAATAAACTCCCCCAACTTTCAAACAGTTATCACAGAACAAAAAATTAGAAATGGAAAATATATCAGAATAAAAGGTCCTAGACCTCCAAAGATAAGTTATCTTGTAACATATATGACAAAACAGGATATTAGAATACATGTAACCTATATCAGAATAAAGGGTACTAAACCAGCAAGGACAATGTCAATTTTTTGTATACAGATTAGCAAAAACTTCATTAAAAATAAATAATATCTCTTCTTCATCTTCACCTGGTCTTTGTTAATTTGTCCTATTCCTTTGGTATTGTATTGCCTTTGTAACAGGGACCTGCATTCTGTAACCACTGGTAAGCTTGACACTAGATGTCTGGCTGGACATGGAGCAGTTGCTCTCCATGCTTAGTCTCTGGTTCTGAATGTTGAGAATGCTCTCAGAACTCAGGTTTTCGTCCACTATTTTGTTCCTTAGCTGCATCCTCTCTTCCACCACCTGATGCTCTCCGGATTGTTTCTTTAGTAGAGTGTGTCGAATGCTCTCGGTCTGTATGTCTGAAAACCTGTGTACAGAAGCTTTTCGTGGTCGCATTTGTAAAACTACACCATTGACAATTTTCTGACGATTCTTCTCCGCCGTTCTCTCTGCGTCTGTCTTGATCCTGGGTAAGGCCTTGGCATCGTTGAGTGGAATGTTGTGAATTTCTCCGGGCCTGAAGTGAGTCATGGCGTTGAGTTTGGCCTGTTCCCTGATACTGAGGTGAAGGTTCCTCCTCTTGACTGCAGACAGGTACAGCCGCTCCCACTCCGACTTCTCGGTGGTGGACAGTCTAGCATTGGGCGGCTCCTCCCATTGGCTGTCCCCCATTGAGGCCAGCTTGTCTTTGGAGGGGGGAATCAGTGAACTGCGTCTCCTGTCTTTCATGACTTGGTTCTCTTTAACCTCCATCTTCTCAAAAAATCTGGCCAAATTTTCTCCCTTGTCATTTGGCAAATTTTTCAGATCTTCCATTTTCTGAAAGCAAGAAATATTCTACTTAAAATTCAATTCACCAAATAGCAAACTTTCAGATAAATCCATTAAGAGAGAAAGTGTTAATAATTTCCCTGAGATTTGGTAAATTTTCATTTTGTTCTTTTCTATGGGATAAAGAAATATATATTGAAAATTTAACAATTTCCTCCCCTTTCGGAGTTTCCTTTCAAGAGCTAGCTATACTGATTATGCAAAATCTTACCTTAATACTGGGCAAACAATGACTTCTGTTCCACAGGTTTTCACTTATGCTATCACCAAATTTCAAGCCTTATATCTTGCAGAGTCTTCTTTTCTGAAGGTCTCAGAATGAACTTCTCGACATACATGATCTTATATATATACAAATCATATTCCTTCACTTTTCTCTGATTGGCTGTTATTTCTTGACAAATAAATCAGAATTGACATCACGGTGTTGATTGACATTTTGGAAAACTGTGAGTGGTTATAGAATAACCTTCATAAATCTTGATACATGCATATGTATTATTTTTTCAGTTCTGATAATTTATGCTTAATGCCTATTTCACAGTTTTGAACTGCTCAGGAGAACTCCTTTAGTACAAACATGCAGATATTCAAGTTTACAAATTCAGTATAGCAAAGTTTTTTTTAAGCCCTGGCAAAATTTTTAATTCCATGTCAAATTTTACAGTTATAACCAACTCTTTAATAATGAATTTACAGAATGTTACAGAATTACAAAATGTTTTAAGACATTCGAATTCATACTAATGTTAGTGTACTGCATTGCAATAATTTGGATTGCATTCGGTCATGTCTGAATAGTTTCCATGTCCTTTATTTTGAGTTGACTTGAAGCTACCACTGAAGTGCAAGCAAAGACATCAACACTTGCCGGTGGATAGTTGCAAAAAAACATATCTATACTCGGCACTCAGGGCCATTGAGCAGTGAGGTATTTTTTGTGCTTCAAGTGAGTGCTGTTCAACTGTATGTGAAACAACTGGCTAGCTTTTTTTTGGGGGGGTGGTTTGAGGTATTATGAGATAATGATTTTTTGTCTATTGATATTAAAAATAAAATATACTCTTATGTACATGTACATAAAATTCTCCAATCAAAATAAAAAACGGAATGTAACTGCTAGCGTCTATTTTAGTCTTCTTGTGTATATCTAAAGAAAATGTCAAAATGTGTATCTTGATACGACTAACCGGTTAATCGGTCGGAAAGTTTTGCGGTTAACCGATTAGCGATTTTGCAATCAACTGAATGAGGGCACTAAACAAGCCATATTATGGTTTTATATTGTTGGTTACTATCTGGTATATGTAAGCTGTATGTGCCTTAGAAATTTTGAGATACTTATATACTATATTGTTTCTGGCCACACCCTTCAGGGCCTTGGAGAACATAAGGTACCTCCCTCCCGCCCCTGATGATGGTGAGCACTCGTTCGTGTCAGGGTCATGGTTACTGCCCCAGTTATGACCTACAAGATAAATTCTCTGATGCTGAGAAGGTAATTTTTCTACTAATCCAATTTGTATATTCTTAAAGAGTCTTTATAAGCTAGGTCTTTGAAAAAATTATATCTCCACTTTTTTTTTTTAACTTAAGTTTAAAGAAATGATGTATATATATATTAAACATTCCCCTTTCTAAATTCATTTTCATATGATTTACACATTTTGCTACAGTAATCTACTCAGTAAAATTCAGTTATACAGAAGACACTGGGGCCATAAATTTTCTTTCTTAGAAAAAAGAAATGAAAGGGATTCATTAAAAATCCTTTTATATTCGAAATTTCCTTACAATGAAATTCTTTATAACCAAGTTTTACTGAACATAGTACATGTATATGTATTATAAACTAAAATATTCAAAATAAGACTGAAAAGCCTCAATTCAAAAAGATGATGCAACCTTATTTTGAAACTTCAGAGTGTCTCAAATGTACAAGAAATGAACTTACCAATTTCTGAAAATATCCATTTGTCAGAACAGGCATCACATTAAAAAACAATGGAAGAACATGAGAATTGCACATTATGCTTTCAGATTTATTACATAATTTTCTCTTATCTTATCATATTTTCAAACCAATCTTTCATTAAATTTACATAATTTTGGTTAAGTAAAATCTATACTTTTTTTAAATCGAATCTGCATTCATTCCATTTTAAAAAGATGGAAAAATTACCATGGGCAACAGTTGACATAGAAACAATGGCTAACTGTCTGTTTCCCTGCGGATCCATGAATGAAGACAAACCAATATTGAGAGCTTCTTTGTTCCAGGTGTCAGCATTAGAACAAATTCCTCCCCAGTCAAACGGTCGGCTGGAAGCCACGTAGGCCAGGCCTAGCTTACCATTAAACGGAGAGAAAGTCAGAAGATGCATGAGACAGAATTGACTGTGTTCACTGTAATAAGCCTTCCCAAATGCCTGTAAAAGATTTATAAGATCTACTGTAAATCAAATGCCTGTAAAAAACATAAGATCTAACGTAAATCATTTTTTATTCGCGACTTCATTTTTGTGTGTAATTACACGAGTTGTAATTTTGTAAATTATGTATTTAGGATTATACACAGTTACCACAGCTCACATAAATTTTGTCTTGTTAATCAAATAGCTATCTTGCATAAAAAAGGTGTCGTGAAAATATAGGGATTTACAATATTATACATGTATTTAAATGAATTGAATTCTGCTGTAATTCTAGTAATTATTTTATTTGAATACTGTAGAAGTACATTTTTCCGCGTGGTATTAATTTACGCTATGTACGCTGTCACAAATTTTCCGTGAAAATTTGTCCAAGCGTACTTAAAATAAATGTCAGGCATATAGTGACAGTCTAGATAATCCGCATAATTTTCTACATGCAGATTCAACAGAAATTGAGATTCTGCAGAATTATGACCTCGTGGATAAAAGTACGTCTACAGTAATTTTAAGGTACTGTAAAAATCACATATTTTCGAGGGGTCGAATGTTCATGGTTTGAGGAAAATGTATTGGTTCATGGGGATTTGATTTTGTGGTTGAAGAAATCAAAAAATTTCAAACAAAACATTCTGCAACGTTGAAAGAATTGCAGTCCTTGATTGGTATGCTGAATTTTGCGTGTAATGTACCTACCAACCAAAATTAAACCCACTTTCCCAGTATATGAAGTAAAACAATAACGTCTCATGACCTAACGATTGGCCTTAGAATATTTATACCAATCATCGTCGAACTTAATGTACCAATGTTATTAGGCCGACTTGCGTTCCTGGGGTGTGTTTTAAATCACATTTTAATGGCAGGGCCTTTTTTTCATCTGGTTGATAACATCATTCTTCCTCTTCACTAACATTTCTTCACCGATGCAAGTAAAATAACTTAATTGTTTTTTTTTTTACCATGAGTTCACTGCAGAGTGGTTAAAATACCATATTTCAATTAGGTGTGAAAGAGCTATTGTCATCGCATTAGAGATTTGGGCCCTTTCTTGAAAACTTTTCATGTTAAATCCTTCAGACAACATGGCTGTTGTGCACTTATCAACAAAAAATTTTCAATAAAAGTGCATTAATTAAATTATACAGTTTAATTGTTCTTTTATGGTTCTTTCATCTTTAAACACAATATACATTTCCACTAAACAAATACAGTGCATTTACTAATACAGCTGCTCATCATTTAATTTTTTTTGAATGCCAAATTGAAAAACAATATTTGTTTTAATGTAATAATACTACTTTCTGCAATATCCTCAGATACTCAGACTTAGAAAAATTAATTTGCACTGAGAGACGTACATGTATATTCCTTTTAGCATAAAGACTTACAAATCAGCCTTTTCATCATACAAATGCTTTTTGAAAACTTCTGGATTTCCCCACTAAATTGTGCAACACCTATCACTTTTTGTTGCATACATTGCTACATATTGAAGGTTTTGCCACAGAGTGGTTAAAGAGAGATGCATTGTCTTGATAGTATTCATGTCTCAAGTAGTTTTAGGGTAGTATATGTATTTCACTTTCAAAACCATGAAGCTATACACTTATATCAAACAAAACTGACCCAAGGCTTCCAATAACCCCAGTTGTGTTGAAAACTTTCCAGGATTTGGATTTCACCACTTCATCGGATTTCATGAAATTCACTTAGTGCCATGTTTACCCTTCCATTTTGTGCCTTCTTACCCATACAGAAATAGAAAAAAAACACTACAACTAACATTTTCTATTCTTTGGAAACGTGACGGTAGGGAGCGACAGTCCACAGAACAGGTTCATAGACATAAATATACCCCACTTCAAACACTCAAAGGCAAACACAACAACACTCCGCTTGAAACAAAATACTAAGGACCCTTTAGTGTGCCCATACAAAGCTCTGCTGCATTACCTGAACCTCAGAAAGCATTCTTCCCATGCAGAACCTTTGTTTTCTATATATGGTTTGCCTATCTCTCGCTTACTTTACCCTAGCAGTTGCGATCGGCTTTAGCTTTCTGTAACCTAGACTTACAAAGTTACAACACTATATAATCCGCATTGGTGCCGCCACTACAGCTGCCTCACTTGGATTCTCATACAATTCAAATTTTGGGCAGATGGAATTCGTCTGCTTTCAGAAAGTATATTAGATTTATCCCAACTCTAAAATTTTAAGAGAATTCAAGCGTTTCCATTAGGATAATGAAGACAGGGGCTTCATATCCAATACAAACACAACCATGTAGACAGGGGCTACAGGTTGTCAATTGGACTGCATCATACTTGGAGACAGGGGCTCTGACTTTCATATCATTTTTAAGGGGAGTACACTGCACCCTTCCAATTATTGTTTTTATGCTTAGTACGTTATATCCGGTGCAAGTCTTTTTCCTATGTACATACGCATTGTGAATGAAGGTTAGATATGGGGCGTTAACAAGGCAGCCTATGTATGTAATGTATATGTATGACATGACAGATGTATAACTATGATAGCCTACCTTGTTAAGGTGCAGAGAACACCCCATATCACTGCTTTGTTTAGATCATACTGTATATCTAGTCCTTTCAATGGCAAAAAATTTTGTTGCATAATAATTTTACTAGTCAGTCCATTTCTCAGGATACAAATGCGTGATAGTTTTGTAGTATTTTGTGTACATATATGTCTTTTGATTTATTGTCATTTATTGAAGGAGAAGTTAGATTTTTTGTACCTGTCACATCATTTTTTGTATATAATGTCTTTTTATGACTTTTTATATGCTATTATGTATTGTGAAGTTCATAAAATTTGTACAATTTTAAT